ACACCTCATTCTCAGGAGGTTCTTTTCTGACATCAAACTTTCACCTTCCCTGAGGATTTGGATATTCCAGCACGTGAGGGGAGGACAGTAGGAAGAGTGCCTCATACTCAGCACGATGACTCCATTAACTTTCACTGGACTATCTTCAACATTCAGATCCAAAGTTAAATTCTGATTTATTAGTGTAGCAGGCTATCTATGGCTCCCCTTGGAAGCAGAAAGGTCCTTCAATGGTTTTTGTGTGTTTATTTGCAAGAACAGAGAGCTGGTGTTCAGGGATGGAAAGCCAGACAAAATTGCAGAATCCGAAGGGGAGATAAAAACCACTGACTGCAGAGACAAGACTTCCAATCCATGTGAGCAGTCAATAACAGAAACCACAAACCACAGACTTGGGGATGCAACAATTCTCCTCAAGCTCAATTCACTCTCAAGGCTGAATTATTCAGTGTACTTCTTTTTGTTCTCCCAGTAGAGTTTGCAAAAGCTGTCAAGGAAGAGATTGTCAAATTAGAAGGCAAATCAGAAGAGATGTGTTTTCCTCCCTCTTTCTCAGGTTTTAAGCAAGCTTTCTTAAAACAGATTAAAATTGCATGTGACATGCTACAGCACCCAGAGTACTCTTTGTTAACAATGTGAATGGTATAAAGATCAAGAAAAAAATGGCAATCTGTTATAAAGAGGCCATGAAAGTGGTCCATCATACCAAAAAGCTTGTGTTCATGTTGAGCTGTTTACAGCCTTCTGCGCAGTGTCTCCTACTCTGAGCTCGCAACTTTTCCTTAGGCAGCAAAATTTAGTCCAATGGCAGCATGGGGAAAAGAACAACTGAACAAAAATAAAATAAAAAAAATAAAGGAACCATAAAAAATCCCACTCATTTTGCTCATAACATCCATTCAGACAACTCATTCTTTATCCAGACCCCTTCAGCTCACTCTGTGGAACATATCTGAGTCCCAGTTGTAGCAGGACACTGGCTGTCAGATGTACACTCCTCATGCTCTGGTACAGCACAGCTTCTAGTGACACTTGATGGCATCTCAGACATTTGACACACTTTTCCTCTGCTCAGGAGGGACACTTGGCTCTTCCTTCAGGACCTGCTGTGAGAAAGCTCCCTACCACCATTCAGAAAACCCCAAAGTGACATTTTACTCACTCTGACACGGGAATAGCTCACAGGCCTCCTGCAGAGGAAAGTACAAAGATTGGTACTATCCTAGCATTTAACACTGGGTTTATGCATTACATTTTAAAAATGTGAGCACACATCAATAAATGACATGTGAGTTCAAACAAAAAGCCCTAAGATTTTATAAAAACCATAAGGAAAATACACTACTATCCCTTCTGTCATCAGAGTATGTAATTCTGATCTCAAAATCTTCAAATGACTCCATTATACTCAAGGACAGCTATTTTTTCAGGTTAACACCATCAAAGTGATGGCACCACCTTCCCTTTAGGTAACACTAACTTGTTTCCATATGACCTCTAAAAGTCAATGATGAGGGAAAGCCCATATGGGGAACATATCTATTTTCTAACTAACCTCCCCTTAAAAGCATTCCTAAAACCTTCTGTGAAGAATAACTAACTCATCTCAAGAATGACACTGCTCAGAAAACATCATCTCAAAACAACAACCAGTTGTAGTCACTCAGAATTCCATTCTCTTGTATGTTTACCTAAGCATTTTCTACTTTTCAGCAGCAGCAGAAGATATATCCATTAAGAACAGAAGGGTGACTGTAAATAAGAAGGAGAATGAGCCAGAGAGTCTGGCACAGACAATAACAGAAACATTTTTGACAGATATATTAATCCTTGGGCCTACAATGGTGTTTCCCTTCTCCAGCCTGGACTAGAGGTGACTGCCTTTGGTGGAATGGCCTCCTTTAACCACAGCAATGTTCTCCTTGCTTTCAGCCATTTTGTCCTTCTATTTAATGACAAACTTTGAATTCTTGGGATGAAAAACAAGCCTTGCTTGTTGTGTTCCATTAGTGACTTAGGTGTTCTACGTGTTTTCTTGATTTCCTGAAACAACCCTGGCCTCCCTTCCTCCCTTTTATTAAAGAAAAAGGTACTCCCACGATGAGCTGTGCCCAAATGGGCAAATCTAAGTCAAGCAATTACAAACACTCAGCACAAACATTTGATAAGTTCTGGTTGCAGCACAGCCATAACAAAAATTCTGATGCAAGCTGCCTTGCTTCCAGAAATGCATTTGTTTCATGAATGCCTCAGCTTTGAAGGTGACTTCATTGCCAGCAATCCTTGTGCTGCTGCCAGAACACTGGGGAAAAAAAGCTTTATTTCAGGAAAAGAAAGACGAATGTGTCAATTGATGATGACAGAACTGTTGTAGGTCAAACAGTTAAACTTATTCTGACTCCGTGTGTAGCAGGCTTGGGGATTTTTTTGAGTACACTGTGTTGTGTGAGGGCAGCTTGAGCTAAACAGGAAAAAACAAAATAGACTTACTGTGTCAGTGCAGATTGTAACTCTGGGGATAAGGTTAATAAGAGCATCCCGCTGCATCACTTTCATTGACTTTCTAGGACCAAAGTTAATTAGTGCAGCACTCATTAGGGATCTCAAATGTAACATGGTCACCTTGACTGGGGAAATCTGCTGCTGACACAGGAGCAAACCAGGAGTGCCTGCAAGAAGACAAACATGCAATCAATGATAACACAATGGCAGATACAAGCGGTTCTCAGAGGCAAGATCAGGAAGGAAATGTTGCTCTTGCTCTGAGACAGAGCTGATTACATTTACTGCTGTAATCTCCAGAGACATGGGCATTTGCTCAAACAGTGCACTTAGAGCTCAGAGCTTTGGAGAATAGATGCCTTTGTTTACAAGCAGTGATGTCCAAATAGTTTCTCTCCTCCACCAGACTGAAAAATTTCCATCTCCAAGCACCTGTATTGCAAGCATTTCAGCACCTTCAAATTGCTGCCATTCAAAAAAATGAAGCAAGATTTTTGTTACAGAAGAAGGATAAAGAAATTACCACTTGATCACCAGGCTGCCCAGAGCTCACTCTGCAGCAAGCCTGAATCCCAAGCTAGCAATGGCCTTGTGGTCCCACAGGATAAAAAACACACTCTGGCATTAATATCCCTTTGCAGTTGATGTATTTGTCTGTCCTGGAGAGAGGTCAAGCTATAGAACAGCACAGCTCTCTTGGTCAATGCCAAACTACCAAACTATAGCTAAATAATATGAAAAATAAAATAAAAATTATAGACAAATTGTTTACAGTAATTCGAAATCTGGTCACACACGATCACTGGGCTTTGTATACAGATATCTCTGATAACTTTGACAGCTTTGAGGGTTTACATACATACAAATAATCTGATTGTCCTCTTGAACCTGTTTTTTCCCTAGAAGACATTCTGGTGCCTCTAGGTCTACGAAGTTCTTTAAAATTTGCCCCTTCTTCACTGCAGAAGGGTGAGCAGCAGGACTGCTGGAGCCTGATCCTTAGTTTCAGAGGAAGAGCTCTGACTGATAGTACCTCTTACGAATTGTCCTTCTCCCTGCATGCTTGGAGAAACAAACAAATGACATTGGTTCATCCAGCACCAAGATGAGCATTTGTGCAGCATTTATTGAGACTAGCAGAGAGTTTCACACAGTTAGATGTAAAAACACATACCGATGGCACCAAAATCTCTGGCCCTCAAAAGCATGATTTCAATGGTAACAACTGTAACAGCTATACACTATTTTATTATCTACTATTAATTCTTAACAATGACAAGCCAGCCTGAGCGAGTCGCCTGGTTACTGGTGGAATTGTGCCTGGTTTATACAATCACGTTTTACAGATATCATTTTTGTATTAAAAAGGGTGGGGAGGTGGAGGAGGGAATGCCTTTCAGACATAAGCAACGTTGCCAAAGCACTAGGAGGCAAGTTATATTAGTAAACAACTTTTCTTATTAATACCCTCTCCTTTCCCAAAATGCATCTCATTTCGATGATATACTTTTTTCTTTAAGAAGAAAAAAAGCATCTACTAGAAGATGATGCTATTTCTAGAACCGTTATCAGCAGTCTTTAAACAGGAGGCTGAACATCCACACCAGGCTGAACTTCCCGAGCTTACCGTGGCCTTTGATATTTGCCTGAAGTATTATAAAAGGGAGAGAGAGAGAAAAAACGAATGAAGTTAAATGGAGCAGCCAGTTTCTCAGCTTTTCCCCTCATGACACCCACCAGCCTCCCAGCCTACAAACCCAGAAAGCGAAGCAGCACCTCACGGATCTCCTACTTGTCAGGATAAACATGCCTAATGGCAGACATCTCCTCAGCCCCCTCCTCCTCCGCCAAGGCTCTCCTGCCCTCCCCTCCGGCTCTGCCTGGCTCTCAGGTGCCTCAGCTTTCTCAGCCGTGCTTTAACTCTTATTAACCCGTCCGTACGAATCCGCGGAACGAAGATCGCCGCTCCGCCCGGGCTAAGAGCATCTCCAACACTTTCCCCTGCCGGCTGCGAGGGCGCGCGTTCCGGATAGCGAGGCGTTCGCTCGCACTCCGCCGGCGCCGGAGCGGGAGCGGGCACCGAGCCGCAAGGGCGCCCGGCCCGGGACGAGCGGGCGGAGAGGGCCGGGCCTGCCCGCCATGGTGAGGCGGGGGACGGGGCGCTGTCCGTCAGGACCCGCGCTCCGCCAGCCCCGGCGCCGCCTCTGAAGTTTCCCCCGAGCAGCGTGCGCGCTGGGGGCCCGGGCTGGTCCTGCCCCCGGGGCGGAGAGGGGCGCGGCGGCCCCCGCCCGCTCCCCCGGCGGCAGCGCTGCGCCAGCGCGGCTGGGCGGCCGCGGCGCCGGCGCTCCCCGCCCTCGCGTTCAACTGGTGGGACCCCCGTGCGCCCCCGGCCGCGGCACCGCGGGGAGCGGCGGGCGGCCCGGCCCGGCCCGGCCCGGCTCGGCCCGGCGGGGCGGGCGCCGCCGGCTGAGGAGGATGCGGGCGGCGGCGCGGCGGCCGCAGGCGGGCGGCGGGCAGCGGCGCGGCGCCTGACCGCAGGGCTCCGCTCCGCTCCCGAGGATGCTGCGGGGCGATGCCCGGCGACAGGGAGGACGAGATCTGCCAGAAAGCGCTGCAGCTGCTGGCCGAGCTGTGCTCCGTCGGGGCGGTGGAGAACGAGAACTGCCGCGATTTCATCTACTACCTGCGGGACAGAGCCCGGCCCCGCCTCAGCGACTCAGGTACGGCCGCCGCCCTCGGGGGCGCGGGCACCGGCGGCCTCCCTCCGGCCCCGGCTGCGGGAGGAGGGCGAGCTCCCCCGAGCATCCCCGGGCTGCCGGAGCCGCGGGGAGAGGCCTGCCGGGGCAGGGAAGGAAGGAGGTGGCGGGGAGGATGCTCCGGGGCCGCGGGTTTGCCGGGCGGGTTTGCCGGGGGAGGACGCCGGTGCCCGGTGCGGGCTCGGTGCCGCCGGGCTGGGTTTTAGCCCGAGCCCGAGCCCGCGGCGGGTGCGGCAGCGCGGGGGGCGGGCGCGCAACTTCGCGCCCGGAGCGGGTCGGAGCCGCCCTGGCCGGCGCCGCCGGGGCTCTGCTGCAGTGCCGGCGGGCCGGGGCTCCCCCGCCGCTCCCCCGGCCCTCTCGGAGCTCGGGGTGGAGCGGCCAGGCGCCTCGCAGCTCGGTCTGACTGGAACGCGGCTCAACGCAACTCCCCGGTTCCGCGTGTCGCAAGCTAACAAGAGTGTTCCTCGCGTTCCTGTGGCAGATGTGGGGCTGCGGGTCTGACAGGATGCGCGCTGGGTTGGTTTGTGTGTGTTTGTCAGGGTTATGGCTTCCACATCGTGGCATAACAGTCTTACTTAAAAACTTTAACTTAAGGAAGCTTTCTCATAAGGAGGCTGAGCTCCAGCTGGACAAAAGCAGAAAAGATTGAGGATTTGTCTCTGGATGCCAGGGGAGGGCAAATTGCAGTTTAGATTAGGAGCTTATTATATTTGTTTTTGCATCATCGAGTTGGGGTTGATAAGAATGGGGAGAAATTTAGTGAGTTAAGACAGAAGTTGATAAACCTTTGCACTACTGGGAAGCCTTGCTGTTAGATCAGCAAGTCATCACAGCGCAGTATTCCTTGCTTCATTATTCTCTGAAATAAATCAGTTCATTTAGCACAGGGCAGTCTAATGGCACTCTTTTCTGTAATTCAGTATCCCGAAGTAACACTCAGAGTGCAACTTCCTGACAAATCCTTGGATATGCTGGAGGCCTGGAGAAAACAAGTAAAACTAAATAAAAAAATACTCAAGGGAGGAAAAAGATGTGCTGTCACAACAAATGAATAAGGAATTTTCCATCATTCAGTTTGCTTGTATCCAAAGCTATTTGCAGCCATTCTGGCTTTTCACTACTTAAAATATTCAAATTGGAGTGATTCATGCAATGTTTGATAGGGTTTCTTTAAAAGTAGACAAATTTAATTGTTTGGTTTATATAGGCAGATTTAATTACTTTGTTCATATAAGCAGTAATTTTAGGACAGACACCTGTGATTTTCTGTAATTTTTATTTACTAAAGGATCAGTCATGTATTTGTGTATCAGGTCATGATTCCAAAGCCATCTGCTTAAATCAGTGCTCGCTTTGGATACAAAACTACTTGAAATGCATATGGAGACTTTAACCCCCACCACTTGATAATAGCTTTTCAGATTTCTTTCAGAAGCTACCTGCTTCTTTTTCTTTTTTTTTTTTTTCCATCAGCCTCAGGCAAAAAGAATACCTGGCATCTGTTTGGGAGCAATTTTAAAACACGGCGTGCTCAGTAAAAATTTATCACCTCTACCTAAAGATGATAAAAAAAGAAAAATTAAAAAAAAAAAAAAGAAAAAGTGTGTTTATTCCTACCTGTTTTGCTTGAACTGGTATTACACAACAGCCTTCCGGTGTTGTTGTGAACCTGCTCGATTACACAGAGCAGCAGTCCCTAACCTTTGCCAGCCAATGTGCAACAACACTGAGCAATTACGCTGCAGGCAGCATCTTCCCATTGGCCTCCATCTGAACGTTTTTATTTTTTGCAGCTGCAGCCGGTCTCAGAGGGTCTGGCAGGCAACATGTTACCCACAAACCCTGACTTGGGAAATGGTTCTGTGAGGTGGCCACGTCGGGGATTCGTTCATTTACCTAATCTCGTATTTCTTTGATTAAAATGTGTTTCTTACCCCAGTACGGCTGTGGTTTGTTTAGCTGCTTGTGGTGCTGTGGGCTGTAAGAAGGGAGTGCACATGACTTCCAAAACGAAGCAGTACGACTCGCAGTGAAAGGGAATAATAATATAAATAACACTGACCAGACCCGGCTTGCTGTGTGTGGTGAGTTTCATTGACTTAACAAGGGCAAAGCGGCCTTTAAAAAGCCCTGGCAAGCTGATCCTTTCCCTTTCCAGCCACTAGAGGCCTGAACAGGGATGTGGAGAAAAGTGGTGCTGAAGGACAGCGTCTCCTTAGCAGAACTGGGCGAAGGATGGAGCTGTGCGTGCTCCAGCTCCCAACCCCGAGCTGTGAAGGGGATGTGCTTGAGTAACTGGCTCTCAGGCCGCCCAGAACAGCAATCTGAAAAGATCTGAGTGGAGAAAAGTGCATGATTATGGGGAACTGGGCAAAAGTGCATGATTGTGGAGAACTGGCATGATTGTGGAGACCTGGGCAAAAGATGCAGCTGTCCTTGCTCAGAGTGGAGAAGGAGATGAGAACTGGCATGATCGTGGAGAACTGAGCAAAAGATGAAGCTGTCCTTGCTCAGAGAGAAGAAGGAGTGGAGAAAAGTGCATGATTGTGGAGAACTGGGTGAAGGATGGAGCTGTCCTTGCTCCAGCTCCCAACCCCGAGCTGTGAAGGTGATGTGCTTGAGTAACTGGCTCTTAGGCCGCCCAGAAGAGCAATCTGAAAAGATCTACAGCATCAGAGTGGAGAAAAGTGCATGATTGTGGGGAACTGGGCAAAAGTGCATGATAGTGGAGACCTGGGCAAAAGATGCAGCTGTCCTTGCTCAGAGTGGAGAAGGAGTGGAGAACTGGCATGATTGTGGAGAACTGGCATGATTGTGGAGAACTGGGCAAAAGATGCAGCTGTCCTTGCTCAGAGTGGAGAAGGAGTGGAGAACTGGCATGAATGTGGAGAACTGGGCAAAAGATGCAGCTGTCCTTGCTCCAGCTTCCTGCCCCTCTGCACCTGTGAAGGTGATGTGCCAGAGTCAAACTGAGTGACTGGCTCTCAGGCCACCCAAAACAGCAATCTAAAAAGATCTGCAGCATCAGAGTGGAGAAGAGTGCATGATTAAGTGGCTGATGAGGTACATGACCAGGTGTTGTGCAGGAATTAGAGCATGGGGATGTGCTTTGAAAAGTGTTTCTGAACTGAAGTAGGCTCTTGCCTGGATCTGTGGTGGGTGCAGACAGTTCGGCAGCACCTTTGGCTGAAGCCATTCATGGATGTTGGCTGTGTCCCCTGTCAGGACACGCTGGAAAATCCCAGCCCTAGGTGGGGAAGGAGGGAGCTGAGGGGCTGCTGAGGCTGGTGCCAGCATCTGTGTCCAAGCTCAGCCTCCTGGTGCCCCTCAGCCCCGGCACGGAGCAGCCAGATCCCTGGAGATCCTCTCCTGATACCTGATGCCCTTGGCTGTGTGGCTCAGGCCAGGAGGGGACTGCATGCCTGTGGTGTGTGCCACATCTTTATTTTTCAGTTCTCCAGGGTATTTCAGTGTTTTTCCCCTGTGTTGGGGAGTGCTGCACGTGCTTCGGGCACGAGTTTAAGGGTTAATGAGATCTGGGTTTAACAGGCTGGTCCACTGGATTTCAAGGGTGACACGAGTGAGTCAGATTTTAAAGCTTTTCAGAAAACTGAAAATGCAAATTAGGCATTTAGTGAAAAATCTTCAATTAGTTCAATAAGAGTTATATGTCAGAGCAACCTTGAAAATCCCCAAAAGGCATCCTTAAGCATTTAGATACCTTAATAAGCTGACTCGTTTTCTGTTCCATTGTAAAATGTCAATAATATTTCTGTATCACTGAAGGGCTTCATGAGGGGGAATTGCAAAGCCTGAACACATCAGGTATGTAATACATTCATAAGGGAGAGTCAGATGGACCTCTCAGAGAGATTGAAGTAAAAACAATGTTTATCATATGGGCATTTGAAAACAATCACTCAAGATCACGGAATATCACCCCATGATACAGCATAAAGCAAATATTGTGGAGGAGGAATGAGCAGAAGAATTTCTTGAATGTGTCAAAAAAGAGAAATCCAGTAAACCAAAACAACAACAGCAAAACTGTGAAAGCAGAAAATCTTGATAGAGAGACTGACCATTAAAAGGAGAATTAGGACAAAAAAGCTGTTTATGAAATAAAGGTTCTAACAAAATTCACTAATCATAGTGAATTTTTCATTAATTTTGTAGTGGAAAAATTATATAAATATAAATAAAAAGTAAAGTTTTCTGTTGCTTTGGGTTGCACATTTTGAGGATGAGCCATCAAGGTCTTATAATACTCTTAATTACATTCTTTAAAATTGACTAAGAGATGCTAACACAGAATACATGATGAATATTGTGGGCATAGTGATGGCATAAAGTGTTTTACAGGTCATAAGTATGAGATAATTATTTCACAGTGATAGAAAGCCAGATTTTAGTACTTGAAGGAGGTAAAGATAGTTGACAGTCAAGAAATTAAAAAATCTGGGAGTGGAAATGTGATGGATTTCGAAAAAAAAATGTACGAGAAACTGCAATTATGGTCTTGCAGTAGAATTTATGCATTTTTTGAATCAGTACTTTACTTTTTCATGTCTACTTTCAGCTTCAGGACAGAGAAAAGCACAAAGAAAAGGAAGGCAAAGAGGCTTTAGCGTGGCCTCCCATCCCTCTGGTGGGATGTGAGAGCCCAGGTTTTCTGTGGAGGGTGTTGTGCCAGTAGGCTGCTCATTGCCTAGAAAGTTAACACTTGCAATTAAATTGTACCTCAGAAAGTTTCCCTTTAATTCAGAACTGACTTGAAAAACAAAACCTGTCTTCAGCGAGTAGTTTGGTTCCTTAAAAAGGTGTTTTAAAATTTTTATACCTTAAATTGCTTCCTGATTTATTCCCACCTCCCTCCCCAAATTTTCCAGGAGCATAACAAGCTGTGGAGTTTCATCAGGACGTTAAATACATCTCGATTCATCTAAATAAATTCAAAAAGCATT